TTGCTGACGTCGTCTCTCAGGCTGTATGTATGCGTGTGTGTGTATGTGTGTGCGTATATAGTGTGGGCCATGCGGGCGTGTTGCGTGTTGGGTATGTTGAGTGTAGGTGTGTGTGTGAGCGTGAGTGTGTCGGCACATTTATGTTGTCGTTGTTGCAATTTCCGCATTTTTTGTGGCAGCCGTAGCTATGCTCTCCGACTTCTTTGGCTGCTGCTCCGGTTCTGCTTCAATTGTGATGTTGCTGTCGTCGCGTGCTTCGCTGTTGTTGCTGTTGCTGCTGCCGCTGCTGTCGCTGCTGCTGTTGCTGCTGTTGTTGTCGTTGGCATGGTTGCTGCAATAAACACAACAAAAACATTAGTAAATGCAGCAATAGTTGCTTAGGTAGCGTAACCACAGCCGTTCGTGGTCTAGCTGTGATCCATAAGAATTAAATATCATATCAGATCATATCACATATCCTATAGATGGACGCTTATGCATATAAATGTAAATGCCTGAATGCCAACTTCTACATTATAAAGAATTAGCTCAGTTTACTATTGGCTAACGTTCCTGTCTCAAAAGTATTTATGATTGCAGTCTAAGCCTGCCTGGAACATAGATTAGGTGTTCACTTTATCACACACTTCCACAATTTCTACTGAACCACAATTTCTTTTACTCGCTTACAATTCGGCAATTTTGCTGGGTCCGTTCGTGATGAGTGTTGTCTGTGGATCGGTGGCCATTGTATCAGACTGATTGCTGCCGCCTAGAGGCTTCGTCCACATGCCCTCATCATCCTCATAATCATCTTCGCCGGCGATCAGCACCGATTGCAATCGACTTACAATCGATGTGGCTGCCGTGGTGGCGGATGCATCAACATCGTTTAGTTCCTGCAGCTTATCGCTAGATGCTTTCTCTACATTGGCGTTGTTGTCGTACTCCGCTTGCTGGTCATCATTGTTGACGATCGATTCCTGATTATCGGTTGCAGTCATAGACACATCGTCCTCGTTCAGCGTTCGTTGCTGCTCCGAGCTATTGCTCGTAGACTGCGCTGCATCATTCAAAGGCGCCTGGGTATTAGCCAAGCCCATATCGCTGAAAACAATGTCGAACTGTGCTTCGAAATAGGCAAACTTTTCGCCATCGAAACTATAATCATCATCGTCGTCGTCGATGTTGCGGCCAAACGGCGTGTTATCCATTTCATGTCCATGTATCTTGCTGTACGATGTGGTGCAAATGTCCCAAGTATTAGCTTCACTCAAGAAATCTTGCGAGTTATCCGCATTATACTCATTATCCTCGTGCGGATTGCAATTGGCCAACAGCTTATTTTGCTGCGCAACGGCCAGCGTAAATTCTCCTTCCTGGGCGATTAGCGATTGCCAGAGCTGCAGGTCCGCCTCGTTATCAAAACTAGATGCAATCAGGCTAGCGATATGTTCAGATTCCGATATACAATTCGTAATATGTCTGAGTATCTTGATCAGATGGCCCATATAGCCCAGCCGACGACCCTTTTCCGCTGATCTGTGTGGATGAGAAAAGTACATATATGTGATTAATAATAAATTAATAATTATTCAGCTGGCATTTCACTTACTGCGTCTCTGCATTGTGCCGCCAATAATTAACCAATTTGGTCACCAGTTGGCAATTGACAATCAGCTGTGAAAAAGTTAATAAGTTATTAAGAATGTAAGTTCCACTGTGTTTTTTCTACTCACATATGTTTGCATCTCTGTGGGCGGGTTGTTTATTGGCGCTTTGGTATTGTCCAAATCGTTGAGCGTTGCCTGAGTGGCATCAGTCGTCGTATTTGGCTCTGCTTGGTTATCATCAGGAGCAGATGTAGAGGCAGTTTGCATTGCATTGTTTTCAATGTGATTCGCCTGCGTGCCCTCCACTTCATTGGCCTCTTGAACTTCATTGGCAGCCTTTGCGATGGCGGCTGCCTCTGCTTCAGCTTCAGCTTCTTGCTGAGCTGCTGCTGCCTCAAATTCAATTTCTCCTGTTGGATTCTCTTTGCCGCCCTCGGCGCGCTTTACATCGTTCAAAGCATTCTTCATTTCCACCTCGGCCGTGGTCGTGCCCATGGCATCATTCGTAAACTTCATTAAGCAATTGAATATATAATCATCCGGGAATATTTCGGTGCAGTCCGTAGAATTTGTATTATTGTTCGAGAGCTCATTATAAAAGACCAAATGCAATGCCTTCTCCAGTTCACTGTGAAGAAAATTATTCCAGCAGTATTCCTTGAAAAAGTCCAGCAGCAGAGAAAAGTATTCGGTGGCACAGATGCTGTGAGAGGGATAAGAATTCAGATTAGTGACACTTGTTGGTTGAGCTAGCTGCAACTTACGCCTGTTGAATGGTCTCGTGTTTGGTCTCTAGCAGAGCGGTGAATACACGACAGACCTGTAGGCGCGTTTTGCCAAATGGAGGAGTAAGAATCGCTGCTGTGGTCTCCAGTTGCGGTTTCTGAAAGAGGGATTGGATACATTATACTCGAATTTTCGTTAAACCGTTGAACACGAACCGCTGGCGGATTCTTCAGCAAATGCACAAATTCATGTAAACGAGGCGCCATCACCACAATCACAGTCTCTTGAATTTCCTGATGGAATTCTCTCTCGCGTTTCTGCAGCAAACGCTGGCGATCCGAAGTCGGCTCATAACTGACAAATCGAAAAATAAACAGATAAGTGATTATATATAAATTTGATGTTGTATTCGCGATGACTCACGTGAATGTAAGGGGCTTGATAAGCGTAAGTACAACCGATATTCCTGATAAGATGGCGCTCTCTAGAGCGTTTGGTTCCAAAATCACATTTAACAAGGCTTCAATTGTCTGTGCAGATTCAATCGTGCGCAATATGGGATTTGACCCATCAAAGGCCGGCTCAAATGAATCATTCTCCTGCTCCGTTTGACGCATTAGACGGCCCTGGTTAATAAGATCACAGAAAAAGTCCGCAACATTTGCATGCTTATCGGTCTCCAGAGGATTACGCAATATTGCAATCAGTCTCTCAACAAGTTTGTCTTCAGTTAACCACTGCAGAATCGAAAAGAAAATATGAATATTAATAATCGTAAGCAATTTGAGGTATTATATTCAATCATTTTACTTCGAATAGGTTGCGCTTCAGTTGACCACCATCGATGTCCTTCATCATTTGCATGATTAGATCGGGTATAACAGGTGTGTCAAAGTGTTTACAAATGTAATCCAAAAAGTTCTTCTGCGCTTTAATATACTCCAAAAATTGTAGGCACATATGTTGATACAAAAACCAATCTTGCTCTGGCTTTTTCGTAAAGAGCATGCTAAATGTTTTACTAAAAAACGACGATAGCAATGAATTTAACGGTGGTTCTTTTTCCAAATATGAATACAGCAATTGCAATGTATCCGCATCCGAGAGCAATTTCTCATCCAGCGAAGGTAGACCACTAAGAAACAAACGTCAACAATATAAATACATGTTATGTATGTATGTATATAGTAGGGGTTGGGGGCGTTGCTTACAGTGTGAGTATCTCACATGACATGTTTGCGTAGTGGAAACGCTGCGACATCGGCAAATCTTCTGATGGTTCCGTTGTGATGAGCTCGACCAGACGACGAATCACCTCTGGTCGTGTAAAATAGTTGACCAAATTCTTTTTTTGCGTTTTACATTCCTGCAATATATCCTCCTCGTCCAGGAATTCCTCCACTGTGGAATTCTATATGGAAACGAAATTGTACACACATATAGTATGTATATTGAACAATGTTATTTGCACACATATAAACACACGCACATGCACTCACATGCATATGCACATTCACACATCAACACACACTTTTACGCACCTCCTTCTCGAGCAGCGCCTCTATATTAGCAGAGGGCGCATAACACTTGTCCCAAAACATTTTTCGCACGTACGTCTTGGCGGTGACACTTTCGGGCTTGTTGGCTAAGAAATGGAGGCGGCAGCACACGCTTGCTTTGCTTTTCTCTTGCTTTTGCTTTATTAATTGTGTGTAGTTGCTGCTGTTTTTTGCACTCTGTTTTTTTAACAACGACTTTAATAATTTTTTCACCTAAAAAATTGCGTTGCCACGCTGATGTAAAAAGGGTAATGTTAAACTCAAAATGGCACTGCTGTACTCAATACGGTCACTGTTAAGTGCTCAAAATGGCACTAATTGTATTTGTGCGTTTATACGCAGCATAGCCATTATTGAATTAACATAATTGTGCTATTTGCTAAAAACACAATTAATGATGAAAATTACAATATACCGAATGCGGTAAATTATAGTTAAAAATTTTATTAATTCTCAATATATTTTTAAAAGTTAGCAGTTGACAAAAATCACACAGTTAAATCACTGACCAGAGAACACATAGACTAGACATGTAGAACAAACTTTTTCAACACCGAAAAAATGCGCTGAACAGACCGGACAACTTCGTATTTGGTCGGCTCGGTCTTCTGAGGTCTTCTACAAGCAGCAAGAGTAACGCACGCAGGTCACAAATGCTCATACATGTAGCAAGGGACTACAAGTGTGTGTGTACTTGCCCGTCGCGAAATAATATTGTTTATGCGTATCAACGCTTTCATACCCTTCCCACGAATAACCATCGAAACGCTTACATTTTGTTTGCATGAGCGTGACAAATGCTTTTATGATTTCGGTATACCCTTCACTCAAGAGGAAAGAGCTGGGATCGTCGCGAAAAATATTCAATTTTTGTGCGTTGCTGCTATTCGAGACCATAAAGAGAGGGAGAGAGTGAGTAAGGGAAAAAGAGCGCATAGCCATGCTTCATTTAATAATGCGTGCATTTCGTGGCAGCAGTCGCAGCACACTGATTTTGTCTTGCCTTATTTTCACTGCCTGAGCCTCAGAAGACCGAGCCGACCAAATACGAAGTTGTCCGGTCTGTTCAGCGCATTTTTTCGGTGTTGAAAAAGTTTGTTCTACATGTCTAGTCTATGTGTTCTCTGGTCAGTGGTTAAATGCTACAATTTGAATCTTTAACTAACAAAATCAAATCTAATAACTAGCGTAATTACAGTATTTTAAGGAAGTATTTTTCATATAAGGCTCAGCCACACTTTGGATAGAGATTGGCGCTCGTGTGATTTTTGCCATTCTTATTCAGCGAGTCGTATCTGTGAGATGCGTGACATTCGAAGTTCGAACATTGCGGCTGCCAGACCGCGCGAGTCACTGTTAAGTACTAATTGCAGCGGTCACATTTACAGAGATTCGTGATGAGTTAGCATTGTAATCGATGTTAGTTGCTCAGCTCTCAGAGTTAAATGCTGCATCTCTAATAAAAGCATTAACAATTTTCAATGTCGCTCGCTTATTTACGAAATTGGCAAACAGCCAGAAAAATAGATAAATTATTAGTTGGATGTTGGTATATAAGGCAATCAGATGTACACGGTCAAGTCGGAAATCTACAGCGAGACAAACTACCAGCCAGAGCACGATGCTGAAGGCAACATTGTATCAAAATTTCGTTTTCGCTATCCTGACGAGCAGCTACCTAACGGTAAAGCTAAAGTAGATAATGATGGTGATCTGGAGGTGCAGCGTCCAAAGCGCGGCATCATAGAAATCGAACATTCCGATGCAACGGAACTTAAGCTAGTTGGTCTCCAAGTTTGGCGTGGAGCGCTGCTCCTGGCAGATTTTGTCTTTCATCAAAGGGAAGCATGGAGCTCCAAGACAATCCTGGAGCTGGGCGCTGGAGTTGGTTTGACCAGCATTACAGCAGCTATGATGAACAAAGGTCAAGTCTATTGTACCGACGTGAATCTCGGCTGCATTCTCGAGCTGATGCGCAAGAATATCCAACGAAATAGGCAGCTGCTGCAAGGCCACATCTCTGTGCTGGAATATGACTTCCTTGCTCCAAGATCTCAGCTCAGCAAAGAACTGATTGCCGCCATCGATGATAGTGATATAATCTTGGCAGCGGATGTCGTCTATGATGATACGCTCACCGACGCCTTCGTCGCAGTCATGGAGCACATACTGGAGCGTGGAGAGAAGACTGGCAGAGCTAAGTGCATCTACATGGCCATGGAGAAGCGTTATGTGTTCACCCTGGAGGATTGTGATTCTGTGGCGCCCATGTATGAGCATTTCCTAAGGCAAATACTGAAGAAGCCTTGGCGCATGGAGGAGTTGCCTTTGGATTTTCCACAATATTTTGAATATGAGCGATGCCCGCAGCTGGTGCTGATGCGCATTAGCAGACGTTGACGCCTCTACTGTACAGTAATCTACCTAAATGTGAACACACTTGTGTTTATAAATAAAACAGTTTGTTAGATTTTATTTTAGTTTCGCATAGAGGATTGCAACAAATAGAAATATTTTTGTACAATATTTAACAATTTGCATCGTATGCAAGACCATAAATTCCCACAGCTATAAAAACTTTGTCTTTTGCCTTAAGATTAAAGATTCACTTTAAGTTTAATGTCATTATGCTATAACCCTGAACCCGTTTCTATGCATCCATTTTCCTGTCGCCGCTTTTAGTTGATCACAAGTCCTGCATGGCCAGGATAATGTTCTCTAGAGCCTGGCGCGCATCAGTAGCTGGAAAATGTTGCAGGACACCTAGGGCAGCTTCCGTGTGCTTTCGCTGCAGCTCCTTTGTCTTGGCCAGCGCTGGACCCGCAAGGATTTCCTTGTGTATTTGATTGTAGTCGACGAGGTCCACGGACTTTTTGCCCGGCTCGATTAGCTTATAAAGACTGGGATCGTGCTCCAAATGGAAGAGGACAGGCGCACTAACCAGACTGAAGGTTGCATCCGGTGGCAGCGTTGGGCTCTGAAAACTCTCGGCATCGAGGCAAGCCTGCCAGGCCAGCGCCAGATGCTTGCCAAAGCGGTAGGCGTGCCGCTGCATCTGTTCGCTCTGGCCGGCCAGTTTGAGGGACGCCTGACAGGATTTGCCGAGCAGGCTACCCGCATTCAATATATTCCGACATTCCCACTCCTGCTCCGGATTACCCATCACCTGGCCAATCGGCATGGGCGTCATCACATCGTGCTCGTTGAAGTCGACGCCCACGGTGAGTGAGGGACGTTGGAATGTGCCCGGCTTGAAGGGCAGCGGGTTGTTCTGCTCATCGCGCTCCCCTATAAACTCCGATTCGGAAAAATCTCGCACAGCTGACGAGATGAGCTCGGACACTTCCTGATTGCGCAGATTCGCAAGCTCCGCACTGGAATGGCCAAGCAAATAGTCGCCGGTGAGCAAGCCAATCTTGTTGCCAAATGACATGTCATCGTAGGTGGTTGTATCCTGGCCTGCCTCAGTGCCACTTTGCAAGTTGACAACGCTCTAAAGAGAATCGAGTGGAAAACTGTTTAGGCTAAATTTTTCGCATTTAAAGGATTCCCTTACATTGTGCACCAAATGGGAGATTCGTATCATTTCGGTGACCTCGGCTAGCGCGCGCTGTGAGTGGAGCACCCCGGCGCTCTTGTCCTGCTCCACATCGGGTATGCTAGGAGCATGTCCAGCGGCCTTGGATACAAGCAAGACAATGAGACCCCACGCTTGCATGGTATTCTTGCCGTTGTAGAGGAGGTGCCTATAGGAGTAGGAATTTTCTAATCTGAATCTGCACATGATTTGTAGTCCACTTACTTGGCTGTCTTCATTAGCGGATGCGCACTGCCCACCAGTTTGCGCAGATGTAGCGCTACATTTGCGATTTCGTCGCTCAGGAGCCAGCGCAGGCTTAGAAAGGACGTGGGATACCCGACGATCCTTTCCGCCTCGCTAACGGCGCGATTCCAATCGTGGCGCGGTGGAGTCACCTGTTTGTTGTTCGCCGCTGACGCAGACGTGCATCGTAATTGAGTGAAAGTTGACAGGTGTGGCTGCTCAACAGGTGAGACTTGTTCGAGGCATCGTTGCAGCTGCCGCGGCTGCATCCTTTGTCGCAGCATTTGTTGCATAATCACTGCACCCACTCGATTCATCTTTGTAACGGTAGTTTCTAAATCCAATGTATTGCACAATTCAACTATTAACTGCTGATTTATGCTGATCCGTGCACTCGTTTGCTGCTCTCTGTTGGCAACTGTTGAAAAGTGAAATCACAGTGGCTGCTCGAGCTTGACGTTGGCTGCGCTGCTTCTGTTGCTGTTGTTGGTGCTGCTTCTTCGTTGGCGGCACACTTTTACACTTTTGCGACGCGGTATGCCGTTTTGTTTGTTTGCTCTTGACTCGAAAACAGGTTTTCGATGGCCCGAACACACCTGCTGCCACCGCCGCCCCTTGCAGCATTTATTTGTTTCTTTCATTTGTTTTGCGTTTTATTGCATTCCAGCAGTTAAACAGCTGTTCACCATTCTATCGATATATCGATATGAGCCCCATGTGTTTTGTCTGCTCTACTGTCGGGTATAATGAACTACAAGATTATATATCTTAAATGATAATATTATCGATTTCTTAATTTATAACTGGATTTGCAAACCTGATTTTTTAATTAGTCACTCATTTATATACGTTTTACGACAGCCGTTACAGCTTTATTTACATCGTATTTATATATCGATATTGGCGATAGTTTCTATGTTATGCAGTTACATTGCTATTTCGAAATTGTATATCGTACACTCACACACACTTATGCATACAGCTGCGCACACACCGTATCAGCCTTACAAAATTGTTATACTCAACGCCTAGTCGATTTGAAAGCACTGCATACTTTTAACCGTTGACCTTATCAATTTTCGAACACCAAAAATTTTTTATCAATGTAGTGCTTATTGATAATGGAGCATACTCTTGGTTTTTATCAGTATGCAAAAGTCATGGCAATTGTCGAATATAATTCAGTATTCTTGTGAATCGCTATGGAAAGAGTCGGAATTGAGCTTTAAATAATGATAGAGTGGCTAAGAAAGTGCGTGGGTGTGTTGAGATTGGTTGGATGCATTTTACGTGTTAGGCTTTGGCTTGGCTAAGCGCATGAGCGGAGTATTTTTAAAAGGCCATGAATGAAACTTTAAGCACCCACCCCTGTTTTGTGACAAGCACCAAAAACAGAGAATGTACTGCAAAGTGTGCGAGAGAGAGAGGAAGACAGAGTGGGCGCCTTGTTTCTGCAAGTGGAATATTGCGTGCACTCTCCCGCTCTTCTGTTCTCTCCCATTCATGCTAGCTCTCACGCAGCCAGCTAACGGTGTCTGCTTGGAAAACTGTTAAAACGGCGTTAAAATCGAAATCGATAAGTACGCAAGGGCAGGAGCAAAAGCAAAACTGTGCGAAAGCTAGAGAAAAGAAAAAGTTTACTACACAATTGGCTAAGAAATTAGTTAAAAAAAATCCGAATTTTTATGGTAGCCCAGTGACTAGAGCATGTCGAAGAAAAGTGTTAGAGCAATAGAATTACTTTTGACAACGTAAAGCTACGCGAGAAACAAACTCAAGAAAATCCGCTGCTGCAGCATAAATCGATATCAGCAGGGGAAATGCTGTGAAAATTTTCACACAACATTTTCTCAATCATTTTCCGCGATTATGTAAAAGTGCTTAAGAAAGCTAATTTAGATGCACGCTTCACATTCCAATTCTATAAGCTATACAATTCGAACCAAATATTAACTCAAGCCATTAACAACTCCCCCATTACCCCCTACTCCATTTGCAGCTACTAAAGGTAATGTAACGGCATTTGATTGAAGCGCGACAAGAAACCATAAACAAAAACCCAAAAAAAAAAAAAAAAAGAAATCGCTTCTGCTTGAAAAAAAAAAAAATCAAGCGCTAGTAGCCAAGCTAGAACAGAATGCAGCCGCCGCCGCGCAAGGTAAACCAGCTAAAGCATATATTAAAAAAATTAATCAGATCTAATTTATGTTTATATTTAATTTAATATATGACATTTCTTTGCTTCAACAGGGAAACTATGTGAAATTCCTAAAGAATTTGCACACGGAACAGGTAGCCAAGTTGCAGCTAAAGAATCAACATGAGTGCGATCTACTGGAGGATATACGGCAATTCACAATCAAGCGCTCCGCTATTGAGAAATCATATAGCGAGGGTCTGCTCAAGATCTCATCGCAGTATCTCAATAAGAAAATACCAAATATACCCGATATTAAAATGGATGGCATGGAGGAGAGATGGTAAGTGATAAAAAATGAATTATTTCCTAAAAGTCTACGACCACTCTTCTCTCTCTCTCTCTCTCTCTCTTTTTTTTTCACTTCCGCATCAGGAATATGTGGAGCGTTTGGCGCACTGTGCTTGAGGAGAACGAGAAGCTGGCACGCGCTCGGCTCGCTGCCATCGAGGTGTTCCAGCAACAAATAGCGGATGAGGCCAAAGTTCTCCGAGACTATAAGCTGGCCATAGCCAAACGCGCGCTCGCCGGCATAGTCAATGTGCAAAAGGAGCTGCACTTGAGCGTCGGCGACGTGGACAAGACTAAGAAATCCTATTTCGACGAGGAGCACTGTGCACACGATGTCCGCGACAAGGCCAAAGACATTGAGGAGAAGCTGAAGAAAAAGAAGGGCTCGTTCTTTCAGTCAATTACATCGCTGCAGAAGAACAGCGCCCGGGTCACGTCGCGCAAGGAGCTACTCGAGGAGAAGTCGTCGGGCGCTCGCAACGATTACATCTTGAGTCTGGCCGCAGCGAACGCGCATCAGAATCGCTACTTCACTGTGGACCTGCAGACGACAATGACCACCATGGAGAACTATGTGTTCGAACGAGTTGCCGAGTATCTGATGCTAATGGGGTAAGGATCGGGAGAGACAGATTCTTTCGGAGGGTAATTTAGTTGGGGAAATTGACTTTTCAGATATGGGGGTAAAGCCTTAAGCCTTGAGGTTGCTTAGATCGGTAGTGTCTTAGACTAGATTCTCTGCCTGTTGCATGTTTTTCTCGTTTAACCAACCTGTCATTTATCATCCTCAACAGACGCACTGAGCTGCTTACCTGCTCGGCCATGCAGAACAGCTTTGGCAAGATCCGCGACCAGGCCCAACAGCTGACGCGGGAGTACAATCTGCAGTGCTGCTATCTATTCTATCCGGTGCTGAAGCAGCACATTCAGTACGACTTTGAGGCATGTGACAATGATCCGGTGCGTAAGGTCACCACCGAGCACGAGTCAGCAGCGGAGACGCTGACCAAGGAGGCGAAGAATTTGGCCGGTCGTGTGGTCAAGGAGAATGCCTCAATACGGGAGTATGCCAAGAAGTTGGCACTGTGCCAGTCGCTGCGAGATGCTGGCCAGCGTACAGATCCCAATGATCCAAATGGCCCCGACTTGGATACGAAGATCGAT